AGGGTTTTCTAAAAGCTGCGTGAAGTCTATCAGTTCGGATCCGTCGTTTCCCATCCCCTAAATTTAAATTATCCAAAAGTCAACCCTAAACCAATTAATCGGTCCCCGATTATCGGATATGATCACCGCCTAATTTAATTTCTCATGGATACTGAATCAGTTCAATCGGGCGGCTTCACTTACATGGGCCGCAAATTCAGCGATCTCGGAATCACCGACGATTCCTCCTCCGCCTTCAGCGACTGCAACAGCGATAGATCCGGCGAATTCCCCACCGCCTCTTCCCAGAGCCGCCGCCTCTTCCTTGCCTGCGCCTCCGATAACTCCGACGAGCTCATCTCCCAGCTCGTCTCCGACCTCGATTCCGACAATATCGACGAGCAGAAGCAGGCGGCGATGGAACTACGCCTCCTCGCTAAGAACAAACCGGATAACCGAATCAGAATCGCCAGAGCCGGAGCAATCAAGCCGCTGGTTTCGATTGTCTCGTCTAACGACCCTCAGCTCCAGGAGTACGGCGTCACCGCGATTTTGAATCTGTCGCTGTGCGACGAGAACAAGGAGGAAATCGCCTACTCCGGCGCCATCAAACCCTTGGTCCGCGCCCTCAGAGTCGGCACCTCCACCGCCAGAGAGAACGCCGCCTGCGCCCTCCTCCGTCTCTCCCAAATCGAGGAGAACAAAACCGTAATCGGCCGATCGGGGGCGATTGCCCCCCTGGTGAGCCTCCTAGAGAGCGGCAATATCCGCGGGAAGAAAGACGCGTGCACCGCCCTGTACTCGCTGTGCTCGGTGAGGGAGAATAAGGTCAAGGCGGTGCAGGCCGGGGTAATGAAGCCGGTGGTGGAGATGATGGCGGATTTGGGGTCGAACATGGTCGACAAATCGGCCTTCGTGTTGAGCTTGTTGGTGTCGCTGCCGGAGGCGAGGGCGGCGCTGGTGGAGGAAGGCGGTATTCCGGTGCTGGTTGAGATAGTGGAGGTCGGCACCCACCGGCAGAAGGAGATTGCGGTGGCGATTCTGCTGCAGCTGTGTGAGGATTGCTTGGCCTACCGTACTATGGTGGCCCGCGAAGGAGCCATTCCCCCCTTGGTGGCCTTGACTCAAACCGGTACCAGTCGCGCCAAACAAAAGGTAATCATCCTCTAACTGAATTCCACTTTAGTTACTATATACCCTCACAAAATTAAATATTAGAATATAGCTGCTGTTAAATATGTGCCTGCTGATTTGATTATTAGTTAATGGTTAAAATGCTATTATGATTGTTAATGACTCTACTAAATATTCAAAGCTGTGTGATTAATAATTTAGAAAATTAGTATGGGTGGTTAGTTTGTTAACGTTGTAGGGTAGGACTGAACACTTACAAGTATTAATCACCTGATTATTAATTATTAATTGAACAACACGAAAGTTGACATACACTTTACTTTTTTATTTTTTTTAAATAAATTTATGGTGATATATAAAGTGTTGGTGATAAAGTAGGATTTAGGTGGGATTATTAGTTTACAAGGGGCCATGGACAAATCTTGACCTTATAATCATGGTTTACGCGTAGGGTTTCTTATAAACTAATCGAGTCGTGCAAGTAAAAGAATTTCTTCTTTTGTAATAAAAATTATGTATGATTTGTGTATTTGAGTTAGTCGAAATTATACAATGTCTAGTAGATTGTTATATAACTTATATTGCTGTTCTAGAGTAGAATGACAAGTAACACAATGCATTCCGATGAAATTGACGATTACCACTACTATACCTACATCGATAAGTTAATAACCTCGTTTAAATAATATATGTTTTCCCAGTCCCAACTTGACGACAATTGTTAAAGAATATATCGTTAAGTTAATATTTCGTTAAATTAATAGAATTTGGTCGATCCCAAACTTTATTACTTTATAGAGTTTTAATCGTAGATAGCAAATATTAATATATATATTGACCAGGCTGAAATGGCCAAAACAATAAGTGAATGTTCAACCTTGAGTCTGAAAATTGCATGTATTTGACCAGGCTTAAGGCTTTTACTTTCTCTACTTTCTTGAAAAAGTCTCCTTATTTTTTTTAATTTTTTTTTTCCTTTTTACTTTTTTGTATTAACAAACTGACCAAAATTAAATATAGGCTTGATCCTATGTTTATGATTATTTATAAAATTATATTACATATATATATAGACTTTTGACTTTGTCGGTTCTTACTAATTTGAGTTGTTACTTGTTACTACAGTAAGACCATTTGCTGTGGCATATTAGTTATATTTATAGAGTCTGAACTGCAAGTACATGTTTTAGATTGAGTTTTGAAAAATGCAACCTGAAATTTAATACCATTAATTGCCATAATTTTAAAGAATAAAATTGAAAACACAGATTTTTTTTTTATTTATTTATTTGAAAAGAACATGGCAGATAATAATTAGTAACATGGTTGTTTATATATTTAATTTATTAATAATAATAATAAGTATTAATTACATACGTGTGGGTGGTGTGTTGTGGTTTGTTGGACAGGCGGAAGCACTGATTGAGCTTCTAAGGCAGCCAAGATCCGGCAACGCCGCTGCAAATTAAAGGACATTTGATCTGTCCTTTTCTTACACTCTCACATGCCTCCCCATACCCTGACAACAATCCCACATTCACAAAAAGACAAAATACATGCCAGGGGCAATTATGGAATATCTGAGAAAAGAATGAGGGGAGGGTCAAAATTGTAAATATAAAGTACTTGTGCTTTCGTTAAAGAGCTTTGTATATTCGCCTCCGGTTTTGATCTTGGGTAACAAAAAAGTAAAAAAAAGAAAAAGAAAAAAAAAGAGAGAAGGATGACTCATACACCAATACAGTATTTTCCCATTATCAGGTTTGGTTTGCTGCTAAATTAAATATAATTTGTTTTTCCTTTTAAATATAGGAACCTTTTTTCTTTCTTCTACTGTAGTGAAAGTATCAGATTTAATATGTATTGTGTTTGTTTGGTTTGGTTTTGGTCTCCTAAATACTTGTCACTTCAAATTATACAACTTTTATTTTATTCACAATTTTGCCCCTTCACCTAATATAATTGTATTCCCTAATCCTATGGAAGAATCAATGGTTTCGAATTTGTTGACAATTTAATGAAAATAGAGATGTTACGTAAGGTGTGGTAACGCTGAACATAATATGCAGAAAACCAGAATTTATTATTTAGAAGTAAATACTTGTGAAATATCTTCAGAGGCGAACACATATCCTTTGTACAGTCGAGTCTAGATTGATGCAAACTAAAAGTTCGATTGACTTACAAATTATACACTCAAGATTAGTAACTACTATCCTAAAAGACATATATAGAAGTAGCTCAAATCTATTTTCTTCTCTTTTCAAAAGCTCTCGTTTTTTTCTTCTAATGTGGACTGGTATTTATAGACTTCGAAATGCGTCCACTTTCTACACAAGTTAAACGTGAACCACTAATTCATTATCAATAATCGTCTAACCCATGATCGAGTCTAACACATGATCGAGTTTAGATTTTATGAAAGTTAAAACATGTCGATTAAATCGGTCTCTACTTTCATCCAACTTAGCATTAAATTACAATTCCCTCGTGCTCGTGATTTAAAAGCAATAAAGTAGTAGGGACTTGTCTAACCCCACCTCATTCGACTATGATTAGAATTACAATTAAATAGTGACTTGCAAGCGTGGCCACTTATACACCTTCCATTTGCAAAGGGTTTGTCTCTTTCTGTAATAAAACGTACAATTCAACTTCTGTATGTATATGTGTGTGTAAAGTTGTTCGTATTATTCAAATAAAAACAAAAGTGAAAGAAATACAGATTATGGTGATAAGCTCACATGAGAAATTGGCAATACAAGAAACATCAAACAAATGTAGGAAGTTTGATTAGTGACAAGCAAACCATTATTGGTCACACACACGTCTTGCCTTTGCACGTGCCGTTCACAGATACAACTCGATTTTCTCACATGTGAAAACTGTCGTATTCTTCATTTTTCATGTGCTACTAATTAATTACTCATAGTTGTTGCCCTACCTATTTCCAATACTTTTCATTCACAATAGTTGTGACAGATTTTCAATGTTTTTCCAATTATGTTTTTTTTTTTTTTTTTCAATTTGCAATCTTTTAAGATTAAAATTAAATTACGAAAAAAATCACTTATGTTTGGATAATTACAATCACCCATCAACTATGAATCTTCCTACACGTCTTCTCTTGCAGTGTCAAATTTAATGGAATCTTTTGTTTATGTAAAATGTTCACCAGTTTGTACCTGTTTTACTCCATTCGAGCTCCACATTTTGAAACAAGATGATCATAAAATGCGTCTCCTGACTTGTAAATATCAGATTGTGGTGCTTCAGAAACTGCATTTTTCTACAAAACGAGTACAAACTAGAGAACATTTCATAGAATCTAGAATATCATATCGAATTTGACACCATAAGGATGAACATGTGAGAAGATTCATAGTTGAGGGGGTGATTGTAATTACCCAAATAAGATGGGGGTTTCGTAATTTGACATTAGCTTAGGGAGATTGTGCTATTTTATTAAAAGTTTTTCCATTATTTATTTTACAAAAGATCTTGACGAGAAAAGCACTTAACCAGTAATGCGTGTTTTGTTAATGTATAGGTCAACCACTTGGTGATATTTCGAGCACCAAATCATGATTTATCTGACCTAATATATATTCGAATCATATTCCACATTAATTAATATCTAGAATGAATGATATATTTTGATTAAATGAGTGATTGCTTTCTAAATAAATATTATTTTTCAGGAATTAATAAAAGTTATCAAGAAGTTGTTAATATGCTTCTTATAAGGCTGAATGATAAAATTAAATTACTCTGTATTCTATAATTGTTCAGCCTTGTGTTAGGTTAGGCAATTATTATGTCATAAAAAATAATTAATTATAATAATAAAATTAAATTAATCTATTATTAGGTCATTAGCACATGATTTGTAATCTGTGAGGGGAATCATAATTTACAATAAGATTGTATTTTATGTTTAGAAGCTTAAGGAAATCAAATTTTAATAAACTTGAAACATTTGGTACGTAAACTCTACCCTAGCCAATATTGATGAAATTAATAACATAATTCATTGATCTTGTTGGAATTATTTTATACTGATTCGGACAAGGATGTGGCCCATGAGGCGAAGCCCACTAAGGCCCATCAAGAGGTACAGCCCAAAAGACGAGGGGAACAAGTTGCCGAGGGCCGAATGGGTATATGGTGTTCGGAGAGACGACGCGATAGCTCGGTCCAGGGGACGCATCATATGCACACGTCGGAGCATTAAATACACGAGCACCAGCATTTGATATCAGAATGACTAGTGACAGCCGGAAAAGGGTGGGAAAGCCTAGGGGACGTGCGAAAAAACTACCCACCGAGAAATCATAACAAACGGCGCACGGCTGATTAAATGAGAATGATGACTCGGGTAGCCCAAAAAAGAAGGACAAAAGGTAGAAAGGGCGACTGAAGCGGCGGCAAGTATACCTCGCCCCGATTTTCATAAACTATTGAGATCCAAGCTCGAGGATTATAAATAGGAGCTTGACCCCTCCTATGGAAGTTAAGAATTTATATACATATAAAGGCCAATGCATTTTCTTTCTTAAATATACACAAATCCATCCTTAAAATACCTATCATTCCCAACTAACTTGATTGTTAGAGTGCTAATTTCGGTGTCAGTCCGACTCTCCCTTTTTAGCAGCTTAACCACAGTCAAGGACCTAGTGTCTCCGCTTCCTCCGCAGTTGTAAAGAAACTGACTACGGTTGAGGTGGTTTTTCGGGCTAATCATATTCTATAACGAATTTTAAATGATTAAATAAAACTCGAGTCATTGTAATAAATTTGAACTCATCTCAAACTTATTTATTTGATTGTCGTTCCTTTTTTTTTCCCACAAATTCACTTTTGTGTCATGAATAATAAGGTTGAGTTTTGGGTTAACAGTCCAAAATTAAACTCAAAATTCAATAAGCCCAAAACATAATTGGGTTTCATTTACTGCAAAATTAGGCCCATTATTACAATTGTCTTACAAGCCCATGATTGTCGACAGCTAAAATTCGAATGAAAGGGTAACACGTGGCGCGCATTTGTGCGTCGGGTTATGTAATATTTACGCGCTCCACTCTGTACAGTTGGTACAGTAACGCACCAACATAGATCCACGTATGGGAATTTAACGTTAAATCACGCGTGCGTTATCCCATGTAATCATGTTCAGCCCTTTACTAAATAATCATTACTTTTTTTATTTGTGTGTTAGTTATCCTATCCATATTATCCATTATCCCTATCCTACTCCCTTTTCTAGCCGACGGATTAACTTCTCCAATATTTACTCTAAATTGCAAAAAACCGTACGAATCCAACTTTACCGGACCGTTTTTACCTTTGACTATTAGAAGCCGTCCCGCGTAAAATAAAATTTAATCACTTTTAAAATCTTTTTCACTTGTCCAATCAAGTGGATTATTTTTAATTGTGGATAATTGATTTATTTTTAAGTTTTAATTAGTATGTTTAATTATGAAAGAATTGTAATATTTTTATTTTTGTGGAAAGTTGTAATTTTAATCCCAAGTTATGGTATGGACTATGGATACGTGGCCACTCAACTAGTGGTCGTGCTCTTTTCATTGGTTTTGAGTTTTGACATTTAATTTATAGTTACAATATTTATTTATATTTAGAAGAAAACTGATTTGTAATTCTTTCATATTTTTTTGGAAAACTTTTTTAGTGTGCAAGTGATCATTGCTCATTAGTAATAACCAATAAAAATGAAGCATGAGTTAAAATAAAATGGCATTAGGCAAATAATTATTTGATTATGTATATAATTGGTTGTAAGTAGATAACACCGATTGTAATCAAGACTAATAATTATTGGTAGTTATGGGTGTTTAATCGTAAAATTTCTTGAAGTTGATTTATGATCGCCTAATCCAGAAACGACGATTTATAGTGGTGCAAAAGTCAAAACTTAGTTGAATAGTTTAGGCTGAAAATAGAATATTTAAATTGAAAATGGACAACTTAGGTAGAGAATCTGGACTCAAAATAAAAATCTTAGACTAAAAAACGATGAAAATAACTTTTTTCCAATGATACGGCTAGCAGAAATTTGGGGATCGATAATGAGGGCTGGTAGAGAGAGAGGTTGTAATAGTGGAAGAAAGTCCAACTTTTTGAAGTGTATTTTGTTTGTTATGGCATACGAGTTGGAGAAAAATAAGGAACATATTTTATCTAATTGAGCTGGCGAATGACATTTTAGCAAAGTTTGAAAATATAACTGTCCTCATTTGAAAGAGTGTTAATATGAAAGGATTGATTAGTAAATTGTCAATTTGTTTACATAATTAAATTTATTTATTTATATCATCTTGTTCAAACAATTCTCCCGAACTAGAGTGGGCCGGGCCTCTAAGGTGCGGACCACCTTTACGAAATTAAATTTAGAGAGAGAGAGAGAGAGAGAGAGAGAGAGAGAGAGAGAGAGAGAGAGAGAGAGAGAGAGAGAGAGAGAGAGAGTGGATAAGGGGTGATGAGTCAGAAAGACGTAATGAAGGAACCCTTGGCATTGCACAATGTAAGGCTGTAATTAATTTACGAATTCTGCGCCATTATTCTTCTTCCATCTGCCGCAATTGTCACTGTTGTTCCACGTGGACTTGTTTGGGGAAACGATGTTAACAGTTCACACACAAACCTAACCTATAATAAAGCGTGTTTTAATAAGATAAAGATTGTGATTATTTACATTTAAATAAATATAATATTTCTCCTTTTTGTGGAAAAAAAAAAAAGATAAGTATATGTTAATCAGAGGTTAACGTAGTACAATCATCAACTATTTGGATGCGGCTACAAGATGCACAATATAAAAAAAGAGAGTACAATTTTATTTTGGGGGAGTGTGAATGAAAGCAACATCCATTGAATCTGATTCTTCAACATATATATGTGGCCCTACTCTTTTTTTTTTTCTTTTTTTTTTTTTTTTTCATTATGCAGTGAATAAAAATAAAAATTAATGAACCCTATTTTTCTTACTGCATGGTGTTTTTGGGATGTGGCTATGAATAATATCAAAATGTGAGAAATTGGGTGTAGCAATCAATCAATTGTAAATAAATGTGAAGTACATATATATATAGTTGGGCGGGACCATTTGTATTATGAATTGGCTCATTTAATTAATTATTGGTGATGTTAAGTGTCTCCCTAATTAAAAGATGGCTTGTGTGTTCACCACTCTTATTTTGTGTCCAAAATTAAATTAAATTATTTGGTATTTTCATTCGAGATCGTTCTGTGAAAATTGGTTCGAGCTCGAATTTGTTAATATAATGAACCACGTTCAACTTGTACTTTCATTCGATTAAAAAAACTACTATGGAAATTGACTCGAGCTCGGTTGGAACTCGTTCGATCAAAATTTTACTTGTCAAATCGAACCCAAGTATAACTTTAAAAGCTCGATATCAAACAAAGTTGATAAACTTTCATACTAAGTTTAAAATCGTCACTCACTTCATCTCGTTATTGTAACTTATTGAGGTGCCGAAAAAGACCGGTTATTATGGAAAAATGCAAAGTATTAGTGTAAGTGTAGGGTTTACACTATGTTACATACACCGAATGAAATATATCGGTTAAATATTTATCATTCATACTTACAAATAACACCCAGACCTACAGTGATTTGTGTAAATTAACAATAAAAATTAGTATAATGTAACTTTTATCGGGTGAAACATAGAAATAACTATTAGTGGACCCCCAAAGTGTTTGCTATTATATAGGATTGGAATAATTTAATGGACCAACCTACGAAGCCTGGCCTGTAAACTAGGCTCATTAAGAACCCACTAACTATATTGAGCTTAAATTCTTCTCAATTTCCTTTTTTTTTTTTTTTTACTTTGCTCATACTTTTATTTTATCTGCCATTTTTCACCACATAAGAGCAACTCCATCCCACAAATATCAAAATTAATTATCAAATATTTATTTGATATTTTATATTTTAATTTGATACATAAAAAAATGTATTTGCTCCAACCATAGTTATCAAATAGTTCCTAATTAAAAATAAATAATGTGATTGTATATTTTAATTAACACATGTCATTTTCTAATTGGTTATTTAGGTGGTTAAATTGTGTAACTTCCAATTGGTATTATTTTTTCGGGATGTATTTTTACATCCCAAAAATTAGAATATCAAAATAGAAACTCATTTGATAACTCAATTGGAATGGAGAATTTCTAAATTGAATTATCAAAATGGTAGTTGAGGGTTTTGATACCCCATTTAATAACCCATTGGAGTTACTCTAACAATATAATAAAATATTTCTAAATTGAGTTTATAGGCTTAAAAATGTCACATCCAAACATTATGCGCAATTGAGTTGTAAAGGAGTTTCCGTCATTAATGGAAGTTGGACGATAATTCAAAGAATTTATTTATATTATTTTGTTATTTTATTATTTTTTGCCTGCAAAAAATTGACATGTCGACCTAAAAATTCATACCACATATATTTTATTATTTATGCACCAAACGTCACAATTCATCCAATAAAATCCAACTATTGTGTTGTGTTTTTATCTGATTGTGGAACGAATCACTCTTTGTCTCTTACCTATTTGTTTATTCATTATTTTTTTTTACAATAGATTTTTTTATTTTTTTTTGTGAATGGGTCCAAAATTCCCAAAACCCCCTCCCCAATTGTAAAATCACAATCCAAACTGGTCACCGCAGAAAAATGCACATCCAGGATTCAGCTGTCACCTTTTGATCCATAAAATCCCATGTCACTTTAGCACATAAAGAAAAATGAAAAATAAAAAATAAAAAATAAAAAATAAAAGGACACATCCAATTACAGATAAGGGGTAGATGATACTTGTTAAAAAAAAAAAATTCCGAATATTATAAATAGCCCCCTACCGAACCAAGACTCTCATACACAATTTATTATTTACCCCCATTTTTATTTCTCATTTTCTTAAATTTAAAAATAAAAAATAAAAAAATGGGGCACAGTTTGTTAGATGCGTTGAATGTGCGTGTGGTGGGTTCCGGCGAGAAAATCTTAGTTCTAGCGCATGGATTCGGCACCGATCAATCGGCGTGGCAGCGGATTCTGCCCTACTTCATCCGCGACCACCGCGTTGTTCTATATGACCTGGTCTGCGCCGGCAGCGTCAACCCTGATTACTTCGATTTCCGGCGATACACCACCCTCGATGCTTACGTGGACGATCTCCTCTACATACTCGACGCCCTCCGAATCGACCGCTGCACCTACGTCGGCCACTCCGTCTCCGCCACGATCGGGATTCTCGCCTCCATTCGCCGCCCTGAGCTTTTCACTAAGCTCATCCTCATCGGCGCCTCTCCTAGGTCAAAATCTAATCGATTTTTTGCAATTTCTTCTTCTTCTTACTGTTAATCCAATTTCAGTACCAATTGTTGGGCAAAAATTGAGTTGAATTTTTCTGATTGGGAATTAAATAATCAACACTGATTTATAATTATTCCGGATTTTTTTTTTGGCACTGTAGGTTTTTGAACGATAAGAACTACCACGGCGGATTCGAGCAAGCGGAGATCGAGAAATTCTTCTCGGCGATGGAGGAGAACTACAAGGCGTGGGCGAGCGGATTCGCGCCGCTGGCGGTGGGGGCGGACGTGCCGGATGCGGTGAGGGAATTCAGCCGGACTCTGTTCAACATGAGGCCGGATATATCGCTGTTCGTTTCACGGACGGTGTTCAACAGCGATCTCCGGGGAGTGCTAGGGCTCGTGAAGGTGCCGTGCTCCATCATCCAGACGGCGAAGGACGTGTCGGTGCCGGCGTCGGTGGCGGTGTACCTGAAGAACCACCTCGGAGGGCGGAGCACTATCCACATGTTGAATATCGAAGGCCACCTCCCTCATCTCTCCGCCCCCAATCTGCTGGCGATTGAGCTCCGGCGGGCGTTGCCCCGATGACTCTGATTTGACAAGGAAAAAAAAAGGGTTTTTCTAACTGAAAAATTGTGGGAATAATGGAGTGACACGTGGAGAATAATTGTGGACTATTTTGTTTTTTTCTTTTTTCCCAATCAAAGGAGTGATCTTGTTTTTCCGCTTTAAGGAAAGAGGATAAGATATCCACGTGAATATCACGTGATGATATGTCCATTTTGTCTTTGCTTTATCTTTTTTATTTTTATTTTATTTTTTCCCCCCACTCATTGCATTTGAGCTATGTTATATTTTGGCGTGATAGAAGAGGTGATACTTGAAAAGCCATTTTCAAAATTTTATCCCAATAATTGAGATTTTGATTTCCAACCATGTTTTGACTTTTGAGAATATTCTAAAATTTCTGAATATAAATATTACATATTTATATCATGCATATAATTTATATTAATAAATATACAAAAGTTTAAAATAAAAATTGTAATATTGAATTTGTAAGGAAAATCTGAATTCTTTTTCTTTCTTTATTATAGTTTGTCTAGTCCAACCATTGGGACAAATCTTTGAGGCTTATTGGGCCTTCTGCTTACAACTCAGTTTGCATTCGTGTGGGCTATCATTTTTATGTGGACTATGGTTGGCCCGAAAATATTGAAATACAAATTCCAAAGCATGGTATCTATTCACTTGTAAATAATAAAATATAAGAATTTATGCATCGTACCAATATATTCATAGTAATAGTTCTATTACAAACATAAGCTACATTTACATTTGCTAATAGTTCTATTTTAGTATTAATCATCGTACCAATATATTCATAGTAGTATACAATTCAAGCAATCTTGCAACTCTCTCAATTACATCTTCAAGCAAATTTTCAACTCTCTCTCAATTACATCTTCAAGCAATCTTTCAAATCTCTCAATTACATCGATCAAAAGTACCGCCTCCCTCTTATCTCCCTTCTCTCTCCTCCCCCACTTTCTCATAAACCAAAACAAACAAACGCCCAAATCGAGCCAAGAGCTCACAAAGCCAGCAACGAAGCACATAGCATAACAAAATGGATGTAATTACAGCAAGAGACTGTTTTTTAAGTAAATGCGTGCGCCAAATTTTTTTAATACCGAACTTTTAGCAAATACCAAATAGCATAAAGCTACGCGTAATGTTGGCCACAAAAAATATTTTTCAGTAAACAAAAACCAATTTCCCCATATATTACTTGCACATCTCGATATATTAATTATTCGGCAAAATAAGTTTGGAATCAATATTTCACCACCGAATATTTTATTTTTCTTAATTTTGAGTAAGAAATAAGAATGAAATATATATCTTGCTTGGAGAAATAACAATAAATATTCTAACATGTATTGCATTTTCTTCCTTCTTATTTTCCATCAAAATTGCGTTTTCATGAATACTTGGTGAAAAAGAAAGCGTTAAAAAACTTTTAAAAGTCGCAACAAATAGTGAAAAAAGCTGACATAGTCAAACAAATGACCTACAACTGTTTCTCGAAGCTCTTGACCACACTAAGGAGAACCCGCAACCTAATCGGCGTCGCCACCCTCTCCACCACCGCCGCCGCCTCCTCCGTTTCTCCCAAATTCTCCGCCATGGAGAACGACCTCCAGACTCTCAGAACACGCGTCTGCATCGTCGGCAGCGGCCCCGCCGCCCACACTGCCGCAATCTACGCGGCGCGTGCCGAACTCAAACCCATCCTCTTCGAAGGCTGGATGGCGAACGACATCGCTCCCGGCGGACAGCTCACCACCACCACCGAGGTCGAAAACTTCCCCGGTTTCTCCGATGGAATCGGAGGGATCGAACTCATGGACAAGTGCCGCGCCCAATCTCTCCGTTTCGGCACTCAAATATTCACCGAGACTGTCACCAAAGTTGATTTCTCAGCCTTCCCCTTCAAAGTCATCAGCGATTCCAAGACCGTTCTCGCCGATTCCGTAATCATCTCCACCGGCGCGGTGGCGAAGCGCCTCAAATTCCCAGGCTCCGAGACCTTCTGGAACCGCGGCATATCCGCCTGCGCCGTGTGCGACGGCGCCGCCCCGATCTTCCGCAACAAACCACTCGCCGTCATCGGAGGCGGCGACTCCGCCATGGAGGAGGCTAATTTCCTAACGAAGTACGGCTCCAAGGTTTACATTATTCACCGGAGGGACGAATTTAGGGCTTCGAAAATTATGCAGAGCAGAGCTCTTTCAAACCCTAAAATTGAAGTCCTGTGGAATTCGAAGGCCACAGAAGCATATGGCGAGCGATCGTTGTCTGGATTGAAGATAGAAAATCTGAAGACTGGGGAAATTTCAGATTTGAATGTTTCTGGTTTGTTTTTCGCAATTGGGCATGAACCTGCTACCAAGTTTCTCGACGGGCAATTGGAATTGGATTCCGATGGGTACGTGGTGACGAAGCCCGGTACGACTTTGACGAGTGTGAAGGGAGTTTTCGCTGCCGGTGATGTTCAGGATAAGAAATACAGGCAGGCCATTACTGCAGCTGGAACTGGTTAGTACACTTCAAATTTTTAGTTCAGCTATTTTCATTTTGCAGTTTATTAAACTTATGTTGTGTGTTCAGTTTTATTTAATTAATTGTCCACTAATAGATGATCATTATACATTGTGAACAATGAAAATAATCTCAATTCAAGAAAGTAGTAGCCCTTACATTTTGAAATAGGATAACTAGTTTGGAGAAAATTAATAAAAGGAGAAAAGAATATGCTGAACTTCGACTGTTTCGTTGAGTAAGTACAGTTATAGAAGATAGGAATTGTTCTAGTTTTGGCATATGATAGTTGATACTTTGTTGCATTTGTGAGCATGGTACCTAAATATACTTTACCGAAAATTAATAAGAGTGACGAGAATTGCTTCTTGAATTCATTAGGCATCACATTCTTTAAAGAAGATTTAACGAAAAGGTTTGCGAAAATGGTTATCGAATCTCTATAGTTTGATGAATAGGATAAGTCTGTTGTACAAGCATGAGTTAGATTTACAATACTACATAAACAAATCTGTCACGGTATGAGTAGAAAAGTTATAGGCACATAGAAGTAGATTGTTGTGATACTTTTGATTCAACTTGTTTATCTGAAACGATTTAGAGTTGCACTAGAACTAGGAAATTGTAATAGAAATGTAACTTGGGACTTTTAATGATTTAAACAATACTACATCCATTTTAAATATGTGTTTCGATGGTATTGTTAACCATTCTACCCGATTTTCAGAAGTAGAGGGTAAAAAGGAAATTTCTAATGAGTCAACCCTCTAGACGAGATCAAATGTTGGCTGGGGTCAAATTTAAAGGGTTTGTATAATTCACCAAACTTGAGGGGATCTATGTGTAGTTAGACGAAACCTCAAAGTAGGGCTGTTTAATTTATACCCTGAAGTAAATCGTCTACCGCCGAGTTGTAACAACAATATCTGTATTACCCAACTTTCTTGATAGATGAACAACATAGAAATATTTCTACGGTATATTAGTTCTTTTCGTGGGTAATGCACTTCATGTTCTTGATTGCTTTGTCTTATTTCGTTCACCTTTACGTGGATTTGTTACATCATCGATAAACGCTTGGAAATTGATGGAGTAATTTGCGGTTGTTACTTTGATATATATGCAGGATGTATGGCGGCATTAGATGCAGAACATTACCTTCAAGAGATCGGTTCTCAAGAGGGTAAGAGCGATTGAGCATTGAATCTTATTGGATGTTGATTTGAATTATTAATGTTACAGGCCCTCTCAAACTGAGGAAATGGGAAAAATTGGCACTTCTATTTATTAATCTTATTATATTGGTTAATATTAATGCCGAATATGTGTGGTTGAAGAAAGGTAACTCCGTTTGTGTTACATTGCATTTTATTTATTATAATTTCACAATTTAAGGCACGCAGTAGTGTTGCATCATATTTGATATGGATATGGTATTTGAGGTTGTTTGTTTGAAGTCTGTGTATATTACATTCAGTCCACATGAGCTCTGCATAAATCAGAGTATAAAGTTGAACTAGCAAATTTTTGAGTCGATTTGAATCCATGTTCGAGCACTCGTAACTAATCGGAACGTTGTGAATTTCAATTTAATCCTTATATTGGAAACCCTGATTTATCAGTTAAGGTGAACAAAATGTCACATGATATTTACTTCAAGTTCGTATGTATAGATTGCTACCGTATAATTCTACAAAAAGACCATTGTCTCCCCCCACACCGCTACCGCCATCTTCAAGCCACTGTCGTAGTCCAACAAAAATTGACTATCACTAACACACACACACACACACACACACACACACTCACACACACACACTCACTCACACACACGTACCCACACAAATTCACACACAACTGTCGTTGGAAAAGCATATATGCGTCTGTAAATACACCTTTGCAAGATATGAAAAGTAGTTGTTGGTTCACTTCGATTAGCTACATAATTTGAAGGAGTTTGAAGGAGAGGTGATTGTGAATAATTGTGTATACATTATTAGGCGTCCAAATTGAACTTTGTTGCAGTACAGTAAAAGTCAAGATCTTCATCATTGTTATCAAGAAACTGCAATACAACAGTAAAATTCAATAATCCATGGCCAAATTATTGTAGCCCCAAGTACACAAAAAAGATGTGTTACAATTCCAAACATTGAAACAAATCCAACCAATCACAAAGCAATCTTTTACAAACCCTTTTCTTTTTGTGATGGGCAATTTGCAACACAGATAGATGTATCAAATCAAAGAAACAACACCTTACTTCTTCTTCAACCCCACCACCACTCCTATAGAAAAAATTTAAAAATAAAGTACATCCAAAGCAACACCCCTCTAAAATCTAGGGCTGCAAATGGATATTATAAAACTATATTAAAATGTAAAAGAAAATAAATAAATAAAGTAGTTAAAATAATGAAACAAATGGGACAAGTATGAAGCAAAAAACAATAATAGTTGTTAACTGTGTAAAGTCATATCTTTGATGTCTCTTCCTTTCAAAGCTGTGACCTTTTCCTTTTCTTTTCTTTATTTTGTTGAAAAAAAAACCTTTTTTTTTTCCAATTGTAAAATAAAATAAAAAAGATTAGCACACTCATTAGGCCAGTAATCAAAATTCTCAATCACTTAAGAATATTGCTTAATCTTTTGATATTTCATGGCTTTTCTCCTTCTTAATATTCAAATCACCGAATTCATCGGTTTGATTAAACACGAGCCTCTTTCTCTTCGCACCGCCGCCCGAATAACTACCGTAGGCGTCGTCGGCCCTTTGTAATTCGGTTGGCGATAGTTCCGGAGACTTAACCCTTTCACTTAAATTTAATCTTTCAACCTCCATTTCCTTGATTATGTAATAGCAAGCAATCACCTCTTCCTGCAACCAAAAAAAAAAAAAAAAAATTAAAATTAAATTAAAATCCATGATAATGCATTGTGAACCGAAATTAAAATAAAATAAAATAAATAAAACTCACAATTTTTATAGCATGAGTTGAAATTAAAGGGGCAATTTTGTGGTGCAAGGCCTCTCTTGTGTAACCATGATCAAGTGCAACCAATGTGGCTGCTGCTGCTATAACAGATGGTTTGTGACACGTCATTATATTCACATCTGCAATTTTATTTTATATTTTTCAATTAGTTTATTATACTATACAAACTTCAATTCAATCAAAATTAATCAATAATCACACACCTCTAATTGTGGCTAGAGTGATGTGTGCAGTTCTCGATAATCCGATTTTCGTTCGATTCCGAAACTTTTCGGCGAAGAATTGAACGAAAGAAAAGGGGGTGATTGATCCCATTTCCCACTCAAGTGTGTTCAATACCAAAAGCTCCATCCTCTGTATTACGCTGCTCTCGAATTTGTAATCATCGGCGCATAAATCCGATAACGCCGGCAATGTGGTTTCCTCCATTTTTGCAGCCAATGAGAGACAAGCTATTGACAATAGCCTTATTGCCCATGATTTCTCTACCTGCACACATACATTTATATAAATAAATAAATAAAATTCAATAAAATTATAACATCTACATTATCAAGAAATGAAGGTTATTATTACATCAATAGATCTTCTTGAAAGAAACCTATCAAGAAATGTGACTGATGTGTAAGCAGTTTGATATCTGAATCCAAGAACTTCCCTTTTCTGCATTAACAAAAAAAATTACATGTCAAAAATTTTCACTCTCTTTCACACACTAACACACACACTGACGGTGAGAGAAAAAAGGGGTTAGGAAACAAACTGTGAGAATGTAGTGGATTCCATCCAAACGAGCCCTAAGAATCCAAGAATTTTGCTGCTGCATTTGGAGCAAACCACCATTTGTGGTGGATTCTCTATCTAGAAGCAATTTAATGTAATCATCTTCATAAAAATCTTCGAAAATCGAAGCAGCTTCGTCTTCATCGTCTAAACTGGTTGCAATTTCTTTACAAAGTAGTAGATTAGTGGGAGAGTGTACAATAGATTGATAATTTTCCATTTTTTTTTTTGCAAGTGTAGTAGTGAATCTAAATGTAAAGAGGAAGAATATGTATATATATAAAAAAATATTTATATTATATATATATATATATATATATGTATGGAGGGGGAGTAATTGGTGCCCGCCAAAACAAGCGGGTGTGTGTGTGTGTGTGAATAATGAATAGGCATGTGATGAGTAAACCATTTATTACTACAATTTTTATTATTTATTTATTTATTTATTTTTAATTTAGGGTAAATTGCAACCACCCCTGAGGTATGGTTAAATTACAAAAAATCCCCTCTTGTTTGGGTAATTACAACCACCCATCAACTAAAAATCTTCTTACACGTCCACCCTTGCGGTTTCAAATTTAGTGAAATCTTCGAGATTATATGGAATATTATCACTTTTGTACCCGTTTTATCCCATTCGAACTCCACATTTTGAAGCAAGATGATCATAATATGTGTTTTTTGGGTTGTATATATCAGATTGTGGTGCATCAGAAACTATATTTTTACACAAAATGAGTACAAACTAGAACACATTCCACAAAATCTAGATGATTATGTTGAATTTGACACCATTAGGGTGGAGATGTAAAAAAAAATCATAGTTGAAGGGGATAGATGTAATTATCCAAACAAGAGGGGTTTTTTCATAAATTGACTATACCTCAGGAGTGGTTGTAATTTATCCTTTAATTTATGTAGTGAAAAGTTGCTTAACAGGAAAAGAAAAAAAATTAAAATTTTAAATAAAAATAAAAAAAGTGAGAGGTGTTATGGTGGCCGAGAGTGGTGGAGGGGGGCTGTGGAGAGGGAGTTTATAGTTTTTTTATTTTTTTTATTTTTATTTTTATTTTTGATGAAAATTATATGATTGGGCGAGAGCGAATTGTTTGCTTTGATTGCGTGGACCAATTAAATGAGGCCACGAGAGGGAAGTGCCTAGGATTTTATTATTTACAATAATCGTGTATTTGTTTATTGCATTTAACATCCTTTGTGTTTACTTTAATTGTAAAAGAACTCCCATTACTATAAAATACTAGAAAAATCCATCATATGAATACTGTTCAGGGTGTTGGATGCTGAAAAAATGGATCACAAGGGACCTTTTTGCTAATATTTATAATAAATAGGGTTGTTTTGGAAATACGATATATTACGGGGGTGATAAATAACATAAAATCTAAAAAGAAAAGGTGTCTCTCTTTTTAGTGATTGGGTGGTGAAGTCCCTGAATATGGTGTGACTAGTCAAAGGTGAAACGTGGGTTCGGACCATTATTATTTATTACGTCACTTGTTTTTTCCTCTTTTAGCTTTTTCCAGCATTTTATTTATTTTTTATTTATTTTAATTTGTATATGCAATTGTTCTATTTTCCCGACAGAAATAGTTATATTATAGAGTCATAATATATAATTGAGGGTGCCAATTGGACAATGTCAGTCGAGCCTTGGTAAACTCAAACTTAATACCATCGGTTTTTACTATTGCTTAGTCTCGACTCATATAATATTTCGAATTTTAATCAGACTCTAATCGAACTGATAAAACTAATAATTAAACTTTCATGCATGTAGTACAAATATTCATAAACTTGCATTAATTTTTTGGTTTTCTAATCATTTGCAAATAAGAGAAATGCTTTAAATATTTCAAATCAATTAAAAAAACTTTTGGATTGGTTAAATTAATTTTAATATAAACTTGAAAACAACTACAAGGGGTGAATCTAAGTTCAAATTTTCATGTATTGCTAAGTGCTTTTGTCAATTAGTGTTATTTGTATGAAATAAATGCTAATAAATATGTAATAAATTTAATAATATTTATATCTCTAATTCAACCGAACTTTATTCAGATTGAACCATAATAAGCTCCAATTCGGCTCTTACATTTTTTAGATTTGATAAAGTAGTTCAAACTCGACCCGGCTCACATTTAGTTAGACTTAGCTCAAATAAAATCGAGCCGAATAATCATACTTCAAGTAGTCCCGGGACTACACATAATGCTCGAAAAATATAATTTCGGAAAAATATTACAAGTCATTAATACCTTAAAACCCCAAATATGTTGCATTTCTGAGGATACCTCAACTTTGTCGGATTGCTTAAAGGTGTTCTACAAAATTTCTATTTTCGCCTGAAAATTGATAAAATTTTTGGTTTCTGCTTCAAAATTGTCGTTTTGTGAAATCTGTGTACACATCTTAAGTAATTAAAAAAAAATACTATTAATTTAATTTCTTGATGAAATAAAATTCCAGCAATCTTGTTTGTTACTTCATCAATGCGAATTAGAAGATGCCGTTACACTGCTCGAAAAAAAATGACAACACATTTTAAATTTAATTAAACCAATTAGCCATACTTAGTACACAGAGATTAGCCCATCTTCAGTCACACACACAGACAACTGTGGAACGCAAGATCCAATACCAAAAAATAAATAATTTGTTATTAATTTATTTATTTTAATTCTTGATTAACCTGTTAAAAACATGGACTAGTCACTAGTGTACTTATATTTATGTGCATTAAAACTTTATTTTAACTGCCTAAATTTTGTCTATATTATCACACAAGAATTCCCACAGACCTATGCTATGTGTAGTTAGGTTCAATAATTAATTAATTCAACGTAGTACTTTTTAATCAAAATACACCAATGGATCGGAGAATATATTCACTAATTACATAATTAATTGATAATTAATGATATATAAATAGACATAAATAAAGACTTGTTGGTTAGTCTTTGTGTAGTAAACAAGTACATTTGATCATCTATTGGATCTTATTACACTGAGTTTGTAAATAGTAAATACTAAATAGATTTGAGCATTCCAAGATCAAGTTTTTTTCCCAATGCAATTAAATAATTAGCAAATTGTGAATTATCTAAATAATTATGTTTTATTAATTTTCATTAAGTGTTGGACAAATAGTATATATTGAATTGGAGAGAGTTCGAGACGTGTTCGAGGTAATTATTTAAGAATATATATATATATATATATATATATATATTTATCGTGCATCACTCGCTCGTTCGAAGTTATTACTTAGTTAGGTTTCTTCGATTCAAAAAAGAAAAAGAAAATGTTAGATATTCATGGATCATGCCTGTTTTTATCGAATTTCACATCTATTCAACTCAATATTAACTACCGTTTAAAAAAAATTAAATGCAAAGTCAAAAAATAAATAACTGATCTTAGTGGAGTAGTAGTGTAAGTAATATTAACATGAATATTAATTAGTGATAGATTCTGATTCTGTTTGGGACTATATATTAGACTGTATGTATAGTTAGCCATTTCATATATGTGTTTGCACTAGTGTATCTAAGCAGTGTTAGGGTTTTTTATTTTTCACAAAAGAAGTATCCATGTAGCTCTCTAATGCAAGGACACTCATAGGGCATGAGGTGTCCGTGTTTCGGACACTTGGATACTTGCCGTCACTAGTCGGACACCCGTGTCAGGTCGTATCCATAATTTCACCTAAATAGGACACGTGTATCGGGTTGTGTCTGTAATTTTGAAAAACATTTGAACTCATGTGTCCCACCTTTGACACCGCTTTCAAGTTAAAAACCCTAATTTTTTCAAAAACTCTACGAGGACTTCCTATTTATTGAAGATATTAATATTAAATGATACATTTCACTAACAGCTTAACCTTTTGGTTGAGATGGTAGTTCAACATGGTATTAGCGCCATGCCAAATGAAAATGTCCTGAATTCGAATCCCACTGCCACTCATTTCAAATATTTCAAGTGCATGGCTTCAAATGTAATTTGCCTGCTCTAATTGAGTGGGCGTATTGGAGATATTAATATTAAATGATACATTTCACTAACAGCTTAAGCTTTTGGCTCTTATTTTTAAATAAATAACGGAAATATTTGTCAGAATTTATATACCCCTATATCGTAATATTTGCGCGTACCCGTGTCCTAGTTTATTTAATTTAAGTGCCATATCACCGTGTCCGGCATCATATCAATGTGACGGCGTTTTTGTGGCCGTGCTTCATAAATGTAGCTAAATTTGGTTGAACAATTGAGGAAAATCAAATTTTAGATTTGACATTTTGCTTGCAAAAAATACCTCTAAATAAGTAGAAGAAATTATCCTCATTAAATTATGAAAATGCGAAATGATGATAAATTTTTTGAGTGTGCAAAATGCGAAAATGTTGATACTTCAAGGGTGCAATGTGGAATTAAACATAAATATTATGCATCAAGTCATAATTTTGTCTTCTCATAATTTTTCTTTGGACTTTGGCTAAAATCTAAACTAAATAAAGATGAAGCCGATTCCTATATACTACTATCTGTTTATATACAGTACGTGCATCACTTGGAAAAGTTAATTCATCAACTTTCACTTTTCCCTTTTATTTCATTTTATTATTATTATTATTATTAAATTTTTTTTTTCGAATCAAATGACCAACCCTTATCTCCCTTTTAAGGGGTTTATAATTCTGTAATGGTAAATACATACATAATAGTAGTAAAGTGTAGTTAGTACTTAGTAGTTTGGAATATGCTAGTGGAATAAAAATTAATGAAACTTCATTACATTAATTATTAAATGTATTTGAATCATTTTTTATTTAATGAAAGCTGACTGTCATTGTTATTTCCCCTAGATTTATCCATAAGATACAGTAAGAGTAAATTACAATGACATCTCAATATATAAGTTTGAATTATGAAAAATCAATCCTGATTTGATAAATTACGTAAAGATCCCTCTTTCAAGAGTTTATTTTTTTAAACCTTTTCTTGAAAAGTTACAAAAATAGGATATTTTTATTTTTTTAATTGTATAATAACTATTATACTGTGAACTTTTTTTTTTAATTTTTTTTTTTGAGTGGGTACATACGTGAAGGCCACTTAAAAATATTTGCTTTTGAAAGATGAAAAATCAGAGAAAAAGGAAGTACATCGTTTTCTTGTTTGCAGGAACTGTCCAAACAGAGCCTTAAAGTTGCTGCAAAATTTAAATACTCAGAAGAGAAAAAAAGAAAAAAGAACTAAATAAAAAAAAAAGAGAAAAGTGCATCTGGGCCTCGTTTTTCCAAAAACAATTCCGGTAAAATGTGGATACAGTGTAGCAGAGAAGACAAGATGGAATATAAATCAAGGAATTCTGTGCCGGTCAACATCTTTGACTCCATTCCCATTACTATATTTTCATTTTTTCAATTTAATATTTTCAATTACCATAATTTACGAACAATCGGAGGTAAGGTCGAATTACCAAAAAATCTCAATGTTTGGGTAATTACAATCATCTCCTCAACTATTTTCAAGTATGACCGAATCTTCTTACACGTCCAACTCCGCTGTGTCAAATTTTGTGGAATTTTCTAGATTATGTGGGAAATTCTCCAGTTTGTATTTGTTTTGTCCCGAGCTCCACATTTTAAAATAAGATAATCATAAAATGCGTTTATAGGTGACTCGTAAACGTTACATTGCGGTGCTTCAGAAACTACATATTTGGACAAAATAAATACAAATTAGAGAATATTCCACGGAATGTAGAAGATTATGTTGAATTAGCCACCATATGTAATGTTGTTAAACGTCTAAGAAGATTCATAATTGAGGAGGTAATCATAAATACCCAAACATTAATGATTGTTTCGTAATTTAACATTACCTCAACAGGGTGACCGTAATTTACCAATATAATTTTCATTTTGAACGTTATATAATATGCTAATTACAATTCAAAGCTCCACACACTAATTTGTCTGATCTTTTCACCATTTTTTATTCCCTTTATTTATTTATAATTTTATATTATATATAGACATATTTCGATGGGTTTAAAGCTACATTTCTTCTTTGATATCAGATACTTTTCTTTATTATTAGTATATATAAAAATAAAAGAAAAATAGCCCACATATACACACAACACATTATTCGAACAGACGACCCATGCAAATTTTCAGACCCTTTAAAGTGTAATTTATCTTTTCTTTTTTCTTTTTTCTTTTTTTCCTTTTTCATTATTTAATTTATTTTTGGGAATCACAGCTGCAAAAAACCACAAGTGTATTTTATGGGAACTTGAAAAGAAAGAATCATTGTTAGAAAGGAAGCATGTTTTTCTCTCATTCAGCATGGGAAATTTCAAACCCTATTTCTACCATATATATATATATGTTTCTCTTCATCACTACAGTAATTCATATTATTTTATATTAATAATTACAATATATATTGGCAAAAAAGACGAATCGGCCCCTATGCCTAAGTACGTAGACTGTAGTGAATATATACGGCTAGGGTTCGAGTAAAAACTGATTTGATCGAGTTAGCGGGCCAGTTGACAACGGGGACCCGGCCCGTTTAAGTAAGAGTACTCTGACCCAAATGAAAGCGTGGCCATGTGTGGATGGGGTTTGCTTAGGTGCCCCTTAAATATTAATACTGCACAGAAATACCCCACAAGAAAACACGCGTCACACACACTATAGCTACCTATAGCCTACTTTATCATAATAAAGCCCCTCTCTGCTGAATAAATTAAATATTTATTTATCAAATAATTACAAGCTGTAAAAAGATATATATAGTATTGATCAGTAAGAAAGTTGGATTCCCAATATTGACTGAAGCTCATCATATATGTATGTATATCACCTTCAATTCAAACTAAATGGGCAGCATGCAGTGGATTCTCACATGGCCTTTAAATAATTAATATTTATATATATGATTATATACAACTTGCATGGCGAAATTTAATTTAATTTACTTCATAAACCAACAACTAGTTTGTGACAAAATATAATGGAATATTATTACCAGTCCTGCACAATAGCTAATTATAAATTATTAAACTAGCTATATATAAATTGTTCGCAATTTCAAGAACAAGAAAATCTATTATATTAATTTTTTTTATTTAGATTAAAGAAAAGATAAAAGAAAAAAAAAAAAAATATATATATATATATATATATATATATATATATATATATATATATATATATATATATATGGGGAGGGAAGAGAGTGTACTAGTGATGTACAGCAATATGCTTTTATTTCTGAGTCGTACATGTGCTCTTAACAGGGCAATATTTTGGATGGACCATTTGTGTACTTTAGATTAGTGAAACATTTGATGTTTTAAAACGCATATACTAATTAAGGAAATTCAAATATATCTCATTTATTTGTTTGTTAAAGTCCATTATTTGTCGTTCGTGACTATGAGGATTTGGGCCCCAAAATATTTATTCATTTGGGAAATGGGCTTACTTCCCAATTCACTTGAGGCGACCCAGCTTTGATGTCGATTCGTTCATTCACGTAAGTTCGGTTTAAATGGAGAAGCTTCTGGACTTTCATTTTGACCGTCGGATAGTCGATTTTGTTCGTCAATTTCATCTCTTGAATTAGTTATGCCTTCTTAGTTTATTCTAAATCTAGTTGACTTTCCGCCACTATGTACTTTCTCTCTCTTTGTACCTCCTTTCATCTTCGTTCGGTGACTTATTACTTATTAGTCAAACGACACCTACTATGGCTAACCTTTGTTAGAGTAGGTAATGGTACCAAAACCACCCCTATATATTACTGTCAATTGAGTCGAGCATATCCGAATTTGTTGGCTCGACTCGACTCGATTTTATTGTAATTTGAAACGAGTGTAGTGACACCAAATTGTAAATGAACGTATCAACAGAGGATAATTTATATTTGAATTCTATGCGTGGACCATATATAATTGGGCCATACATGAAAGAAATTGGACTAGTAAATCATAAATCAGACAATTAAAATCGGCCCAATTATTAACAAGGATTAAATCGGCTCAATTGGTACATTCCCAAACGAAATCCTTGTTTGTATTTTCCGGAGATGGGCCTATCTTGACCCAATATAATTTGATTATTATGTTGAACAAAATTTAATCAAGTACAATTTTGCTCATATTTATGCAATAAAATAATTATTTTATTACAGCACCCCCACCGACATATGCCCCCGAAACAAAAGTCAAAACTAAACATTAGCTCGATTCACACCGGTCCATGAATACATCGGCCAGTCGACTGACTGAATCCCTTTTTATATCCAGCTGTCAACTATACACGTCACCAAGTTTGTAGTGGGCCCCACCACCACAGAAACCAAAATTGCCAGGTTATGGTCTCTATCAACGCCGCGTGTATTCTCTTCCACACAAATTCAAAGAATATTCGGAACCACTCATCCAAAGGATTCCTCTTTCTTTTTTTTCTTCCCCAAATATCCTTAGATGGAAAATAAAATAAATAAATAAATAAGGAATATTCTAAATTTTGATGCCCAATTTCGAATTTGATATAAATTAAAATTCATTAAAGGACTTCACAACTAAGTTATTAAATTAATTATTCATATATAATTTTTTTGGACATTGATGAAATTGCCCTTTTTATTTAAAATTAAAAACCTTAATGTAAGATAAGAATATAATCATAAATAAAATTTCCTTAAATCGAAAAACTAAGAGCAAATAAGATATTAATTAAAAAGGAAATTAATTTTCTGTGACGAAATAAGTACACGAATCTAATTTAGGAGAGACACACAAACAGGCCTTTACGTGGAAGATATTTTAATTTTACTAATTTATGTTACGTGTGTGCACGCGCTATATATATATATGAGAAGACCGTGTTTGCGTAAAATCTGAATTCCACTATTTCCTTTTCTCTCGAAAAATTATAGCAAGAGTCCGAGTTCGTCTCTACCAAAAGTTCCCCCAAATTGTTTTCATGGATACTTCCCTTGATTCAATTAGATTGTTATTTCTGTCCTGCAATTCATATATAAACTCGCCCCCACTTCAATTTTTTCATTCTTCAACCTCTTGTTTTCATCTTTCTGATTTTGATTTTAGTCGTCGCTGTGTTTTTTCTTTCTAACCTAGATTCTCTATATTATTTTGATTTTGGAGTAATACTATAGCAATTAGAGGTTTTTGATTCTGATTTGTTGCTGCGATGGGTAGAAGTAAGTTCCTATTTCTTTGTTCTTTTTTTTTTTCGATTTAGTTACAAAATTTAATCTTTTCCGGTGTGTGAATTAGAAAATTATTGAGCTGTATTATGAATTAGAAAATTATTGAGTTGTATTGTGAATTAGGAATTTATTATGCATGAGTTTTTTTTTTCTGTATTATTTTTATCTTAATTTAAGCATTCGGCTAGGGTTTTGATTGTCAGGAGTTGATTTGAGCTTTGTTAAAATTATTATCAAGTGAAACGTGAATCTGTTTTGCTTATACCAACTGAGTTGGATTGTCCGAGCTTATAATTAATCTTAATTTTTAATTGGCGGTTATTAATTGTTTTGCCAAACCTGAGAATTCTCAAGAGTATAGTGTTTTGTATGCCCTTAATTTCCTTTGCTTGTGGAAATTTTTACATAGTAAACAATTGGTTTTTAATAAGTTAATGTGTGTGTGGCTAATTACTGTGTATTTTTTAGAAAGTTCGCAGAAGAAAAATGCTGCAATGCTGGATAGTGACGACACAGCTAGTTTGAGCTCATCAACATCATCTATGCCGTTGGACCATATGGCCGATTTTGGTGCCGATGAAGTGGTGGTGAATGACGACACTTTGCTCGATCAGTACTTAGACGCTTTGTTTGAGAAGAGGTATTTTTTACTTTCATTGTTTATGTAATATTTAAGCGACTCACTCGTAAATATCGCTAACAAATATTATGTGTTGTGTATTTTTGGTGTGCAGAGGGGCTACTAGGGAGAAAGCTTTGGCATCAATTATCGAAGCCTTCAATGGCCACTTGCAGCATAGTTTTGCTGAAAAGAAGTACACACTCTTTCTGTCTAATATTATATTCTTCTTGGTTTCCGTTTGCGGATTAAAACTGTTCAAATCTTATGTTCCTAAAATGTAGATTTAAAAGTAGTATTTTTGTTCTCAATGTAGGTTTGCTACATTGCTTCACCAGTGCTTGAATTCGGTCAAAAAAGGTTCCGCAAAGGAGGTTACTTTGGCGGCTCATGCAATAGGTTTTACTCTTCCCCCTTGCGCATGTCTCCATTGATTGTTCGCCGTTTGGTATTCGGACAAGACAAATTAACTTTACATTATTTCACAGGACTTTTATCACTGACTGTTGGTCCTGGGGATAAAGCCCTAGAGATCTTGGAAGAATCATTTGTTCCTATTTCAGAGGCGCTTAGAATCCATCCGGAGACATCTAAGACATCATCTGTATGTTCCGTTTTGCTGTCTGAATCTCCATACCAACTTATTTTGTCCCTCTGCAGATGTTTGATCTGACTTTCTTACATTGATAAAAAAATTTACAGTTGCTCCAGTGTTTGGCTGTCATCACTTTCGTCGGCGGTGAAGAACCGGAAGAGACAGAGAAATCAATGCAGATAGTGTGGCAAGTGGCTCATCCTAAACTAGGTCCAAATGTACGTCTTTGTTATCACTCTGGTCCATGATCTTAATTGCAATTTTTGTGGCTATTAAATTGTAATACCTATATTTTCGTGTTAAAAGGTGGCTGCTGCTAAACCTTCACCGGCATTGACAGCAATGGGGGTCACAGCCTGGTCGTTTCTTCTTACAAGTATCGAAGGACGAGCTCTCAACTCCAAGAGTTGGCAAGAGTTAGTATTTTTTTTATTAGCTGTAAAAATTTGTACTTTGCGCTTGGTTTTTTTTACAAGTGTTGATTGTTTCGACGAAATAATTCAGGTCAATGTCATACTTTTCGACTCTGCTGGAAAAGGATGACAGATCGCTGAGAATTGCTGCTGGTGAAGCTCTTGCTTTGATTTTCGAGATGGGAAGCCTCGAGAAATTCTGTGGTGATAGTAAGGTGTCTAACGTGCCCTCTGTTGATGAAGGGAATGATTCTCGAAAATCAATGCACATACATGGGCTAAAAAATAAAATACTAAATCAAGTACGTGCCCTTTCAATAGAGGCTGGCGGTAAAGGGACTGGTAAGAAAGATCTCAATAACCAGAGGAACACGTTTCAGGATATACTCCAATTGGTTGAGGTTAGTGTCAATGGTGAAAAAGCACTTTTTTTTTCTTCTTAAGTTGAATATTAATAATGTGAGTATCATCAGGATGGTTATCCCCCGCAAACCTCGACAAAAATTGGTGGAGATTATTTGTACACAGACACATGGCAAGATTTGATTCGGGTTTGTGTTTTCTTATCTTATTTAGATCTTTTAGTTGTGCGACGTAGTAGTGTTTTGACATATCATCTCGTTTTATGACTTGTAGTTGAACTTCTTGAAGCACTTTCTTGGAGGAGGTTTCGATAAGCACATACAGGTAAATAAATATACGTCTCCGTTTTAAAAGAAGTTCGATGTGAAGCATTCTTTATTGAAATTTCCTCTTTAATCTTGTGTTGGGCAGGATAATCAGTTTCTTCTTGACCTCTTTGGTTTTGCACCCAAGAAGAAGCTTCTATCGGGGGCTGAGCGACGCATGACTAGTCATGAAAAGGTTAGTGTTTTATGATAATTGTTGGGACTAAAATGCAAATATGTTATTTTATATTAAATAATTTGAAATTCCATTAGCATAAATGTTGAAGTAAATTCTCCAGAAAGTAATACCCATATTTTTGTTTTTGTTTTACAGAGGATGTACAAGTCACCTAATTCCGCCGCTAATAAAGCACGGACGCAATCACTTAACAAACAAAGGATGTTGTCCCAGGATAAAAATGTTGGCCAATTTGCGGTGGATTTTGGCGACATTTGAACGAGGAGCAGCTGTGTTCTGGCATTTGGTTAAAATTTATATTTATTGCAGTAATAAACTTCTAAAAAATTCACTATTGGCTCTTTTTACAAGGGAGGTTATTTATGTGATTTGATTTCCTAGGATTCATATATGTAAAGTAATTTTATTATCTGTTCGATTCATATATACTGGATGGTGTGGCGACTGATAATACTTATATTTGTTTGATTTATTAAAATTTAGTGTTGCCCAAATAAAAATAAGAAGGTAGGTTCCATTTCAACGTGCTACTTGCACTACTTTTAACCAAATACCAAATTGATTTTCGGTTAGGAAATGTGTTTTGGTACCAACAGTATGTCAGAAAGAAAAAAGAAATCGAAAAAAAGGGTACCGACGAATTTAGAATTTTTAATGAATGAGCTGCAATGTCACAGGTATGAAAATATCTAACTACAATACAACCTCTTATAAATTAGTATTCAATAAATGAATAATTTCGCGAAAATATCTAAATACAATATAACCTCTTATAAATTAATATTCAATAAATGAATAATTTCGCTTAAATAATTTTTTTTTTCAATCCAAACTCTGTGGCAACATGCTAAATTATTATGTAATTTAAAAATCTAATTTTCTTTACATCTGATTAAAAAAAAATTATAATATTTTCTATGATATACTCTTGAAACAAAAGAAGCCCCTCATTTCAAAAGTGAAGTCAATGTGCAAAGCAAGAACTGATGGGCAGGATCCAGTCGACGTTTACATTACAAAAAACCCTCTACCATCAAATTATGTATTAATTTACTACTGTAGAAATATATCGAATTGGACAAAACGAAAGAAAACCGTTTCCTTTCATGAATTAAAATGAGCAGGCATACCAGAAAAATGCTTACTCATTGCTCTATCTTTCCTGTACTGATTCCTCCCTCTGCCTCTCCTCCCTCCACCACCTCTGCCACCACCCCTCCCCCCCCTCCCTCCACCTTCATCATTTTCTTGTCCCTCTTCTTCTTGCTCCTCATTCTTCTCCGTCCATCTTTTAACCGCACCCAACGGTAAATTGCCACCTTGCCCAAGTCCATGCACGAGTTCCTTCTGCACTTGATTGACCAATCTCGCTTCGTTATAATTTGCCACAGCTGTTGCTCCATCAACTTTGTAGCTGTAATTCTTACCATCCTTCACATAATACTGTGGCTTCTTACGCGACCCCCACTTCGAACTGTCAGCAGCGTTCGAACCCGAGCCACCACCTTCAGCTTCCGTTGACTTTCCTCCTCTGTGTGAGTTCATTCTTTCGCCAAGTGTCTCAGGCTCCTCCATACCCGAATCACCCACACTCAATCCCAGGTCATCAAAGGAGTCGTCATACTCATCATCGTACTCGAGCAGCTGTGCCGAAAGGGCAGCAGTTTTGGCCAACTCCTTTTCCTTCTTGTTGTTTAAGGTTTCGGATTCAGACACGTCGTTCGTGTTCTTGCGCACGAATCTCCCTACTGCCGAAGAAGAGGATGACGAGACTGACGAGACTAAAGGTTGGTTTTTCACCACTTGTGGTGGAGATATTGCAGAATCCACCACTAGTTTGCCTTTGCCTTTGTCGTTAGGCTTAATCGTGGATGATAAAGAAGACGACTGTTTTGGAGGTGGTGTTTTTTCCAATGAAATGTCGAGAGACTGAAGTTCTTCGTGGAGAGTTCCTTCGAGGATTCTCTGAATTACTTCTTCTGGGTCGTGGTTATATGCTTCAAGACAAGCTACTAAGAAGCCTCTACCATAATCTGGAAAGAGTTCTTTTATTTGACTGATTTTCGACTCTATAATTGCTGCATCTTCGTCAGCCTGCACTTTGTTACTTGCTGGGGAGGAAGTGGGGTGTGTTTCTTTGACATTAGCGTGTGGTGGGGTCTTCATGATTTGGGAAAGGAACTGCAATTGTTCGTCATCCATTGATAACCAACCTTCACCCAGTTTTGAAAACATTAATTTATCTGAAATCCATAGAGATCAAAGACAAGTGGGAGATATATGCAAACAACAATGAACTAGAATAAATAGCTAGTTCCATTAGATTTAGACCCACAGTAAGATGTATGATTGATGAGATTCAACATGTAAAAATGAGAATTTTAATAATTAGACTAGAACACTAAATAACAAGAAACACTAACTAGCAGATACGAAGAGCAACCTAGGTATTTGAGTTTATTAGTAGATCGTGCAAGATTGCATTTTCAAGACTGAAAATAATTAAGTTTGTTGCCCAAAAGACATGAAATTCAAAATCGCAACTAAGCATCAAAGGTTATATATAAACCATACTTCCATAGAAATTCTACCTGTTTTCTGCAGTAACTGCATCCGACTCATCATTTGGTGATTATTCTCAATGTTCTGGATAAATGTTCCCCAAGTTCGGCCCCCAAGAACATTAGTGTTGTCTCCAGTGAGATCTCTTATTGTCTGTATTATAATGTCAGCCCTTACGACAGGGTCCTCCACATTTGCTGGAAACATCTTCATTGAAATCGGAAGAGAATAACTATTTTCGAAAGCCTCATCACTGAGATAGCAGAAATACAGTAACTTCCACCCAAGTTTTGCTATCCTTGTTGACATCATCTTCAAACTAGAAAACACATCTGAAAGCAAATCATTCGGTATTTTCTTGCTCCTATCTTCACCCACACCCAAAATCACACGAAATCCCCTTTGCAAAGACGGGATAAGCGAGTCGTGTAGCCTTGCAAGGGTAGTGAGCAATTCTTCATTCCCATAACTGCACAGATAATAAATCTCAGTAATGCAATACACTTTAACTTCCCAATCACAGATTCAGGCCCCAAACGTAGTACCTCATTTCAACCGGAGAGGAGAAGAAGACAGCTGCATGTTCGTATGAAGTAACAAATGAGTCCAATGATACAACTGAGTCATTGATGAAGTCCATAACCTGTGAATAAAGAATGGGGAAAGAGTCACAGAGACAAAGTGGAACACGATTGACACAGCTACAAAGACCAGGATAAAGCCGTCAAGGAGCACAAATTAAACTTATTTTCCTTGTCACAAGTAGGTGAGAAGAAGTTCTCTCCAAACGAATTGTAATGTCCCATTTTAAACAATGCACTGTGTCCAATTTGAAGTATCACTAGGAATGATATCTGAAAGGTGCAGGGAGGTTAGACCATCAAACAATTAATGAAGTACCTCGAGATAGTCTAAGTGAAGGCGACTGGATCCTTGGTCTTGGTTGCCAGCAGAACTAAGCAAAACCTGTACACCAAGTCTCAAGTAAAACACTCATACATTTTAGCTAAATTAAAGCGAGCTTCTATATCCTGCTGAAAATCAAAACCGTAAAATTAACAAAAGCACCTCTAAGGATGAGCTGCATCTTTGATACATAGTCTGAATGATGCTTAAAAGGTGAGACAATAGAACAGGAAAATCATCATGGATAAACGGTTGGGCTCTCATTGCATTCTTAACCTGGAAAATTGAAGCATCTACATGTGAGAAGGTGGGAGGCAGGAGAGAGCCAATAGACACAGGTGCATACAATTTGCTTGGAAGAGCATACCAGTATTCGGGTCAAATCTTCATTTTCATGACCATATATGGCACAAATATCTAACAGTTTTGGCAAATCAAGTAACTTTTTGTCCTGCAGAAGAGCTATACATACAATTCATAAACAAACTTCTCAAGTAAAAAAATGCTCACAAGATAATAAAAATTGTAGAAAACCCAACACTCCAATCAAAATTCTAGAATACTTTTTCTCCAACAATTTTGCTCAACCCCATCCACTCAACCCTCATCAAATTAGGTTAAACAAACAACTCAATTCCAATGCCTTATAGCTTACTTTGGAGAAGAACAATAAACACTGGCATAAGTGGCAGATAAGTTATGCACACATCAAAAGCTCAAGGATTAGATTAGCAGGGATGTGGTGGCAATTTCAAAATGTTTCTATCGGCAAGGCATAATCAGCTGATATCAACAATTCACTACTAGACATTATACTTTGTGGTTTCAACAAGCTACTTCTAAGTATTCTTTACCCATAAAATCAGTTGCTCGTGTTTCACTACAATTCACCCTGCCAATAGCTCAGAAAAGTAAACTATATCAAGAAATAACTGAATCAGCAAAATTGTAACAGCATTGCATTACAAAATTGCAGAACTGGATTCAATAATTTCTGGTGGATGAATATGTTAAAAAATCATACCCAAAAGTATAATAAACCACACTAAAACCACTGTACCTACAGACTACAAAGCAGAAAAAATGATCAACAGCACACCTTCGTGATCTTTTAGACTCAGAGTGTCGGCATTCTTCACCCCTGGATCCCTGTTGGATGATCTGCACGAAGAGAAATTTCACATTTGATACAAAATCAAATTGACAATGAAGCAACAAAATGGAAAGAGTTATTTTCTGTAACTTACAAGCGATACAAGACCATGAAGACACGTCTACAAAGCTCAAACTCACCAACAATCACTCCAGCAACTATTCCTCTGGCTCCTCGATGAGGGAAATCATACCACCGACTTCTGAATTTCAAAAAACTTTCAAGGAAAGAACTCAATGATTCATTTGTAGCCACTGCAGTTAAAGGAAAATGAATCATCTCAGAGAGTATTCAATCAGCACAATTTCTATGAACTAATGAGATACTCCAAGGAGACGGATAAATTAAAATTTACACGCTAGCAAATAAACTAGGAACACTTCATAGAATTAATTTGTTAAGAAACAACAAATTCATTAATAAAAAAAAAAAAAAAGATGATAACCTTCTTTCCAGAAATCCCTAGGGTGCAACTTGAGCAAACGAGACAACTCTAAATTCAACAAATCAACAACACGTTGAGACTCCATTGGATCCAATCCCCCTTCTTCAGGTCCAAGCCCAGCCGCCACCGCCTCATCCTGTGGCAAGTAAATTACAAAATTGCCAGTCGCGGTGGTACTATTTACCCCCTTCCCATCGCCTCCCATCCCGACTCTGCTTGTCGACGCCACCACGGCACCGCCGCCGCTGCCGCTAACCGTGGTTGTGGCAACGGCGGTCCGGAAGGAGTTAGAGAGGGTGTGGTGAGGGTTAGGGTTCGGGGAATCCCTCTTTGGCACGAATTTTTTCTGGGGTTTTGGGGAATTTTTGTAATTGTAATCGTTCCTGTTTTGGCCAGTGAATCGATTCGACATTTCCCCCAAATCTGTAATTCCGTAGAAATGTAAATATTTGTGGATTTACGCAATTTGTAAACAGACAAAAATTCAAAAGGATTGAATGTAAAGGAGTTGCAGAAGAATTGAAGGAATTGATGATTCGGAGATGATACAGTTTCTCTTATGTTACCCAAGGTTTTTCCACTCCTTACTTTTTCCTTCTAACAAAGACTTCTCAACTTTCTTCTAATCAACGTAAAAAAATCTATTTTTATATATAAATATTTTTATTTTTATTTTTATTTTTACGCGAAAACCCTCACGAAAATATTGTCAGGCTTAAAATATATTTTAAATTGCGATTTAATTTTCCAACACAATTTTATTAAGCAATTTCTTCTATAATTGGTTTTTCTCTTTCAAAATAATGGCCATATATTTAACAATTTCAATTTCGATTTTCATCACAAACTCACACTCGCATGTGCGCGTGTGCTCAGTAGGTAGTTATTTAGGTAGATATACGTGTATAGAAATTAGAATGTATAATAATAACAGTTTTAATATAATGAATTTTCCATTACATTAACATATGCCTCCAAAAACAAAAATAAAATAAAAAAATCTCTATTCTCAGCATATATAATTACACAAAATAAAAGAATAGATACCATTAATCATTTGATGAGAGATACACAATTAATTCCTCTACGTACGGTTCTACCGTATGCGTGTAGAGACTCGTATATACGTTCGTGTATTTCTCATGGTCTCGTATACGATTAGTGGTTTCGCCGTATCTTGTACAAATGCAAGACTCTCCAATAATACAATTCTTGCCCAAAACAATAGTTTTTTTAAATATACATATATATTTCTTTTTTGTTTTTTTTTTTTACAGAAAAATATTTATAATTCAGAATGTATATATATATTGTGTCTGGTTGGGAATATTGTTATTAGCAGAAGATTAAGGTTAATTAGTAGTGCTGTAAATTATTAATTAATTAATCCTCTGGTAAAGGCCCATGTCCATTCCATTGTATGCAATTGGAGCATACATCCACATTTCATCTGAACTTAGCAACTGCATATTAAACAAAACACATGAAAAAATCTTTAATTAGTTAATTACTTCGACTAATTATTATATATTAAAAATTAAATGATCATGTGCTAACATTTTATTATAGTATAAAATAAATAAATTAAAGAAAGGAACCTTGATTTGAAGCTGTAAGAACTTTACGTACTGGACTGCCTCTTCCAGCATTGTGCTAATGTCAACCTGATTTAGAAATTCCATGTTATTAATTATGAATTACATACTTAAAAATGCCAATAGAATTATATTCATTAAAGGTATCATCAATTATTACTAATGACATCTTAATTCATAATTAATTTAATTACCTTTGTTCCATTTGGAACAAGATTCTGCAAGATCCTCAATCTTTCATTAATTTTCTCTCTTCTTTTCTGAAAAAAAAATTAAAAAAAAAGGAAAAAAATCATCAGATCATTTGGCTCTATATATATATATATATATATATATGTGTGTGTGTATTCATGATGAGAATTATAAAAATAAAATGACTAAATTACCCTTGCATAAAGACTCTGGGGATCAGTGGCAGTACCCTTGCCAACCTTTGCTTTACCGTTGGAGGCCGATTTTTTCGATTCCGAAATTGCCCCTACATTAGAATCATCTTCCTCAGAGGTGCATGTGCTTGAGCTCTGTCCATTATTCTCTCCACCTTTGATTATATTCACTTCCTCATCGTCGATACATATAGCTTTCTTGTTCTTTTTTGTCGACTGTGGACCATTTCTCGTCTTTTTATGCGCCTGTATCAACCAATAATAGTAAGTCCATGATATTCACAAACGATATATATATCACTATATATATATATATATATATATATATATATATATATATATATATATATATATATATATATATATATATATATACACTCACATTTCGAGAAATCCGAGGTTTCTTCTTAGGACTAATATCCTGTGGTAATAATTCTGTCTCAAACTTCCTCTTGCAAGAAGAATTATCTGCGTTATTTACGCACAACTGTTCGTTCAAAATATCTGCTTTCAATTGTCGAAACTCTTGCATGACGTCATCATCGGTAAAAACGGGCCCCACCATTGATGCTGAGCTGTCATTCATAGTCGCGACAAAATCCATGGACGGCGACATCTCAAAGTGGTTGATTATTTCGTTGCTCTCGCTTTGGCTGACGACGCTTTCTTGTGAAACATAGTAAAAGTAATTAGCATCATTAATATCAAGATTATTAGTACCATGATGAACATCGGAAGGTAAAACGGACAAATTTCCATCACCGGACAAGAAATCCGATGACGGGAGTTCGCCGAACAAGCTGCTGCAACTGTTTAAGAAATCGGAATCTTCCTCGAACGAAAACATTTTGCTCAACGACTCCCATTCTTGATCAAGAAAAGCTCCAATGGACTCCATTTTTTTTAATTTCTTTTTTAATTTCTGAGTATTGGAGATTTGATTATTTTTTTTGTGATGATAACTTAGAATATAATTGTGCATCATATTTATACTGAGCCCAAAGTAATGGGAAAAGGAATTAATGGCAGTGTGATCAGGATTAATTTGACTTCATTTTTTTAATGATATTATTTGTGTGGCTTCTTGATTATATATAATATTATATTATTGTAAAAGGGTTTGGTTGGTCCTAATTCTTTGTAACTAACCCTAAAGAGTCCACTGTAGGGGCAAGTACAGCTCATAAGAGAGGATCAAACTTCAAAGTACATGCAATTATAACCTTAAATAAACTGTATTAAACCACCTTAATTTAATTATTACTTGCTGAAAGTGTTATAACTTATAACTAATCATTTGATGGTGACTAACAATGATTTAATTATCAATGCTGTTAACATGATAATTAATGTGGTTTGGTGAATTAGAGTTAAGGGGTGATAAATAAATATATTAAAAAAAAAAAAAGTGTACTTAGGGATTGGTAGAACGTGGGATTATTATTATTATTATAATTAATATTATTATGGGATAAACAAAAAATGAATATACAGAAAGTCGGTGTTGTGATCGTGAGGGTGAACTTATTTAGACAATTTAAGCGATAAACTCGGTCTTTTGTCGACATAATTAATTAACTTAATTATTTTCAGCCGAAGTTCAACTTTAAACAGGAAAATTAATTAACTTCATTATTATCAGGCTAATTTCAACTTTAAACAGGAGATTAACTGCTAGACTATTATCATGTAGTGAACTTTCTTTAAAGTTTTCAAATAAACTACCTTAATTTAATGCTTTGCAAATATATAACCGTTGGTTTAGTTCATGAACCAGCTTATTAAACATGTTTTTTTATTTATTTTATATGTAACTTAAGTTTGATGAATTCCTTAAAAACAAATTTAATAAATTTGAGTGTACCCTTGTAAAACATATTGTACTAATTGCTCGTGAATTTGAGAAATTCCAACTAAATTTTGTAGTCGTAATAAAATGCGAAAATAATCATGTTTAATTTGGGTTGCGGTCTACTTAATTTGATTTTGTCGATCTCGTTGGTAAAATACGTTATGATCGGTTAAATATTTGGACTTTATTTTTATATTTATTGGCTCCATAATGTTTAGTGTGTCTAGTGTGATTTACGTCTCCAGGTGGAGCTTGTCACACGTGGTAATTAGCCTAATGTAGTTTACGTCTCTCGTACGAAAGTTGGTTGCGGGTTCCTTATTATTAGCTTCATTACCAAACCCAAAAAAAAAAAGAATTCTTATTTTAATTATATTGTTCTCTAATCAAATTTACAGCCTATCGATATAATCTAATTTTATATTGATAATGAAACAAGGGTTTTTAAAGAACAATAGTATATCATCTTCTTCACTTGTTTATAAGATTTTCTCAGACACCCATGCTAAAAAATCATGGTTTAAAAAATGTTGGTCGACATAATTATATTAACAACACCATCATTTTGTTTAATTATTTTTCTATACACTGAACGTAATATCCATGATAAGAAGCAATTCCCAGCTGTAATATCTTTTTTTTTTTTTTTTTTTTTCTTAAGATTAATTAAAAACACGACTTTAAATCCATGAAAAAGGCATTGAGGTTGTCTGAACTTAGTCATTTAATTTGCCACCTTTGATTCCGCCGTTTGTACCGCTTCATGGTAAATCAAGTTTTCTCTTCTTTTATTTATTTATTTTTTATTTTGTTCTTTTTTTTAATTTTATATGAAATTAATAATTTCACCTATATGATGTACGACAAATGTATATTTCTAACTTTTTATTCGATGGAATTATGTATATACTCGTGCAGATTCATACATATTTTACGTGTATTTACACGCATGTGTACGTCAAAAGTTAAAATTATTCGATATATTTTATCAGACGTAACATCTAAAAAAGACTGTGTCGTAAAGTTAAATATGTGATAATTAATTAATTATATAAATTTCAAATTTAGATGGATCACTTTAACTAACAAAAAAACTTGTTTGATCTACCGTCAAAGAGTCAAGTTGCAATATTGTGGGAAAATTCTTAATCTCACCGCCCATTGCACGATCACAATTGTAAAACAAAGATTGTGACGACAAATTATAAATGAAGGGTGGGGAATAAAATCTACTCATGTTTATGTCCAAACAGAGAACTGAAAGAAATTTATTTAAAAAAAAAATTAATAATAAAAAAATCTGATATTGTTCTTCTTGAAATTCGAAAAATGCCATAAAAAATAAGAAAAAAGGAAAAAAAATGATTTTCGGGCTGCTTTGCACGATTGTGGTTTTAGGGCATATGTTTGGGTATTGTCGGGCGTTAACATATTTTCCCAGGTTAGCAACTTCAGTTTGAATAACTATTTAATTACAACAACAGCTAATCTCTTTGTCTTATCAAACTACCAAACTCTGTACACAAGATAATATGCCACGTCAACTCATTAACTAGCTGACACGTGTAGCACTTGATATTTATTTTCACAGTATAAAAAATAAAAAATAAAAATAAAAACTTTAGATAAAAAAAAACAATAATTGAGTATTAATTTTTAGTTTAAAGAAAATTTTAAGCTGCCAAATGCATTTTACAAACTGCGCGATTTACCAAATGCACTTGTATGATTATTTGATTACTAATCAATGCATTATCTCTTAAAGACTTAAAAAATAATAATTAAAGTTGTGATAATGACAGCATTTGACGTTAGTTAGAAATTAATGCCAAATTTATAGTTTTTTAATACCACCCAATGACTCCTCTAAGCACTTAAAGACGTCGTCTTATCAAAATAGAGTCTTAAGGCCATAATTAAGAATTCTAATTTAATATTTTCTAATCCTACCAGATTTACATAAATTTTGGCTGATATGATTTTAGCCATCCTTTTCAATTAAGTAATTATAAACTTAAAAGTCAATGATATTTTAAATAAAGATGCATAGACAGACTTTATTTATTTATTAATAAATAAATAAATAAAATAAAGCATTACACGAAAAGAGGTTTTAATTATTAAATATTAATTTCTCCATTACCGACTGTGATTTTAAGTTGATTAAATACACTAATTTTTGCACTAATTTTTGTGTTGAATTTCTTCCTTACTTATGACTTATTAAAACTATTTTACATTAAAATGCCAGTTCAATGCCTATTAGCAATGTCGCTTATTACTTAAATATTCGAGAAAGAACTAATAATATGGGGCCATTGTACATTTTAATAATAATAATAATTAATGATGATAATTTTTTTTATGTCTAATGGATGACTTATTTAGACTAAACATTAAACAACATCACATGAATGATTAATGCACTCAAAGGTCCAAAGATTAAGAAGAGATAATGGTAGTTTATTTATTTCTTCCTATTTGTTTAATCACTCTTAATCATGATTCTGGCATACTTTAGTTTTTTGTTTAGAAGTACGAAGGCATACTCGCACTAAAGGACAAAGTCCCACGCCCCGAGAGACCTAATCCCCTGCCCGATAGGTTTTGGAGGAATGTCAATCGTGATGACTCAACGGTCCGTTTGAATAACGGACCTGGCCTGATGCCGACAATATTGAAACATACTTGCATGCACATAAACTTGACAGAACATAAAATATTCCATACAAATGAAAGAGGTATTGGTCTCTCACAAATACAAACAATGTGTTTAGATGAATAATAATACAGTAGAATTTGTTAATCAATAACAGGTATGAAGAAGAATAAGCTAAGAACTCTGCCAAATATTATTACATCAAATTATTTGTTGGCATCATAGATTATCTGTTTTCCTCAGATTGACGAGCTCACAAGAACAAACAGTGGCTTGTCTCCTAACTTGTCCCGACCCTGTAATGAACCGAAAATACGAAACTATTAATGCAAAATTAAATTATCTTTCAATGGACTGACTAAACTGTTATATCAGAAAGTATAAACGTAATTAGCGAAGACAAAAGAAATATATTTATAAATATGTCGCCGGTATTGGGAATGCAGTTTCATACCTTCAGTTCCGGCAATTCAATAACACAGGCACACTCAACCACGGTTACTTCAACGCGCTCTGCAGTAAAAAAATATAAACCAGGTTAGATTAACTTGAGCACTCCTCTAATAACTCGCTCATTCGTGTATATTAACTCGCCTATTCATGTATCATTGTCATTATTCAGACAATAGCACGGCTTGAATATACTAATACTCCTACCTCGTTTAGCTCGTCATATTTTTCCAAAGTCCCGACTCGGATTAACAAAAACATAGTAAAATATTTAAATAAAAAGACATACCAAGTAAGCGGATCGCAGCATTTAAGGTTCCCCCAGTAGCAATGAGATCATCAACAATAAGTGCGCGTTCTCCAGCTTCGACAGCTCCAACATGCATCTCCATCTTGTCAGTTCCGTACTCCAGCGAATACTCTTCCGATATTACCTTACCTGACATAACAGGATAACAACGAATAACGAATTAAGCAGTGAGTGTAATCCGCATATCAATATGATACGAGGTGCTCGTGTAAAACAGTCCCAACAATTGTGTACACAAATCAACGCAAATAAATAATTACCATATTGCAAAAAATGCCAAAATATTTCAGGATATGTAATGTACACAATTTATCAAAATGACAGAAAAAAAGGACATGTTTACAAGGGTTTACCGGGTAGTTTTTTGGGCTTCCTCATAGGAACAAATTTTGCACCAATAGCCAATGCAATCGGAGGGCCGAATATAAAACCTCTTGCCTCGATACCTGCAAAAAATCCCCGGGTGTTATAAGAGCACAACTAACTGGTACGGCACAATGCATGATAAGATAATTTCAACATCACACTAAATAAACATTATACGGTTATAAGTTTCACAACGAGATTAAATTAACTGAGAACCAACTGCAAGATTTATACAAATTCTTGGAATAAACTACACTTCACCTTCTAATAAACAACCTACTGATGCAGTGGATACATTCGTTTACTTTTCAAAATTCTTTAGAAAAACAAGGGCAGTAAAGGCATAATTTGCTCGATAATTTGCAAAATGTTCAACTCAAACTGTAGACTGTAGAACATTATGAAACGATCTAACTAACCAAAAGTGTTTGACAAATCAATTAGAGAAAGCATATTAATTCACACTATAAGTTACTGCATCACATATTCCACAACCAAATGTAAGTAGATTATATTAAAATAAATAGCAAAAAAAAAACACACACACACACACAAACGAGAAAATCACCTGCAACAACATTGATATTTTTGTCTTTATATCTCTCAACAAACAAATCGATCGTGTCCTTGAACGCCTTATGATCAAGCAACAAAGTCGTTATATCCTGAAACATAATTCCTACATTTTTTTTTTATTTTACAAAAAAATCAAATTTAGTTAAATCACAAACCCTAAGATATTCAAAAAAACCACTGGAAGATTTAGAATCAACTCACCAGGTTTGGGGAAATCGGGTATGACCCGAATGGTGGAGGAGATCCGAGAGATACGATCGTCCGTTTCGCCAACATTTGCTGAAGCCATGTGTGCTGCTCTCGTAAGCTTCCGTTCGGGTACGGCTGCGCCACCAGTTAATCTGCCGTAGATCGCCGGATTGTCTTTTCTGCTGCTGCTGCTGATTGCAGTGGTGGCGGCGTTAGAGTGGGAGATGAAGATATTTGATTTAACCTTAATGCGGCTGCACAAATATCCGATCGGGACAATTTTACCCTCGAAGATCTCGATTGGCGAGAGTTGAGATAGAGTGTACATGAGTGGGATTTAAAGAGAAATTAAAGGGTAGGGTGTGGAAAAGTGGGTGATTAATAAATTGAAGGTTTAATTTGATGCTTTTTGTTTGATAAAGTATAGCTACGAAGAATAATTTATGATCTAACTTTTCTCAAACAAAATAAAAAAATGAAAATTACCCGCAAGTGTTGTCTGGTAGGTGGAGTTTGATATTTTTTTATTCCTTTTTTTTTTTAATTATTTAAAAAAAATAAGAAAATTGAAATTAATCTACAGTTGATTCGAAAGATAATTACACAATTTTTAATCAAGTTCGTCACACTGATTAGTCTAGTGCAGCATATGAAAAGCGAAAAGCAGATGTGTAATTATTAGTTATGAGAACCAACTCTCATTAGGAGAGTTGGTATCTAGCCTTTACCAACTCTCATTAGGAGAGTTGGTATCTAGCCTTTACCAATAGGGTAAAGGTCTAGGGTTCGAGTCTCCCCTCCCCTACTTCCCCTTGTAATGGACTTGAATTTACTAAAAAAAAAAATATTAGTTATGAGAGGATTTTTACATACATCATACATGAGTATAAATTATTAGTTTAATAGTTTAATATTTGGTGATGTTATGTGATAATATAGAGCATGTTTCATGCTGAAAGGAAAGAGTTTCATAAATCTAGAAACAATATGGTGGCATGAAAATTGATTTCTAGTACATGAAATATATTAACAGAACAAAATAAAAATAATAATATATGTTTATTTTTATATTTTATTTTTTCTGCAAAAATATAGTTTATGATGCACCACAGTTTGATATTTAAGAGCCAAGAGACATATCTTATGATCATCTTGTTTCAAAATGTGAAGTTCGAAAGGGGTAAAACGAGTACAGACTGGAGAACATTCCACATAATTTAGAGTATTCCATTAAATTTGTCACCGCAAAGATGGACGTGTAAAAATATTCATAATTGAATTGGGGTATAGTTGAATAGGGTGGTTGTAATTACCCAAACTTGAGGGAGTTTTTCGTAATTTGACATTACCTCAGGGGTTAACCGTAATTTACACTTAAGTTTATAAATTAGGCTTTTTTTTCAGAAATTGAAACTTTACTAAACAAATCTGAATAGGGCCTTGGCCCACTAAATAGGTTATGGGCCTGAGCTCATAGTTTTGGGCTTAGAACCATTAGACAGCATGATCGTTTAAAATTTAAATTATTTTTTTCTTCAGAAAGATTTTCTTGGTGTTGATATAAACTAAATTATAGCATTTTTAATTTAAATTGTTGTCATCGTTGAAATTAATGTATCTAATTACGAAGGTTTAATCATAATTTATGTGCTGAATGTCGTACACCATTACACCCTAGATTAATAATTACCTTCATTAATTCATTAAATGAAAAAAGGAAAAAAAAGGAAACACTTTGAATTTTCATGAACAGTGACATCACCTTTTGGGTCAGAGTGTCGTCAGCAATAAGCATTTACACACAGGATTAGTTCATTTGTATAACAAATTAATAAATACACAGTTACTTACAGCAGGATGACACGCATTAACAGCATCAACTGTGAAGTCATTGCATATGCCATAACTAATTTTGAATAAGCTCTAATTTTGACTTCTATTACTCGTGGATACATTAATTCTTGTCTTTTAATAATAATAATAATAATAATAATAATAATAATAATAATAATAATAAGGGTAAATTACAAACACCCCCCTGAGGTATGGTCAAATTACAAAAACACCCCTCTTGTTTGGATAATTACAACCACCCCCTCAGCTCTTCAAATTTAGTGGAATTTTCGAGATTATATGAAATATTATCACTTTTGTACCCATTTTATACCATTCAAACTCTACATTGTAAAGTAAGATGATCATAATATGTGATTTTTAGCTTGTGTATATCAGTTTGTAGTGCATCGGAAACTGTATTTTTACACAAAACGAATACAAACTAGAACACATTACACGGAATCTAGATGATTATATTGAATTTGGCACAATAAGAGTGGAGGTGTAAGAAAAAATCATAGTTGATGGGGGTATATGTAATTATCCAAACAAGAGGGGGGTTTTTGTAATTTGACCATACCTCAGGAGGGTTTTTGTAATTTACCATAATAATAATAATAATAATAATAATAATAATAATAATAATAATAAATAATAATAATAATAATAATAATAATAATAATAATAATAATAACAAAAATTATAACAGTGGCTTTATTGTATTAGGGGGTAAAATTTGATAAATTAATAATTTTAAGTTTAGGAGTTAATCTTAAAGTTTTAATCCCAACCGGTTATTTATTCCTAGGTTATATGTTCTAGAAAGTTCCATAAAAAGAATTGAAAAACTTTTATATGAGCACGAGGTCAAAGACTCATCAAAAGTGGAAATTGAAAATTAGTAGCAAGCAAGTAAAACTTGTGGAACTCTCTTTTGAGGCACAAGGCAAACACCACTTAATTCTTTTTTTCTTTTTCTTTTTCTTTTACTTTTCTTTTAATTATCTTTTATTTCTAGAGGCATTTATTTATGCTCTTCTAACTAATATGTATACCCTTTTAAGTCAATGGCTTTTGGTACTAATAATAGATAAACCATGTCCCTTTATTATTTAAGTATTTTTAATGTGTCTCAACCTAATTTACTCGTACCATCGTAATTAAATTTTTATTGCAAATAATTTGATTTGTGACACTTAATTCCTCCACTAGTATACATCCACTAGTCTCACATTTACAACTAGTGGGCTCGAACAAAACTTATGCCGCTCAAGCTCCACCTATTATTATTCTTATTTATTATTTATTTGAAATTGATTTTTTTTTTTAAATCAAATATTTTTCAATATCTACACATCTTTTTTATTTTCACAGGTTTATTATTTAATTTTAATTTTAATTTATTGAAACAGTTATCCACATTGACCATTCCAGAGAGACTGCAAGAAGTTGGTACACAACTTGCTACTTGAAAAAAATGGAGCAGTCAAAAATCAACATTCTATAATGTAGTTGAATTGAACAAGTTTTGTACTTCCAGCACATAATTAAAAAAAAAAAAAAAAAAAAGTTGAAGTCATTAATTAATTAAAAGCATATAAAACCAGATTCATGTACTCACAAACAGTAAAGAGAGACAAGTGTGTGTAAGAAGGCAATAGCCGCCGCCGCCGACTCGTCAACACAACAACCGCCTGCCTGCTTTCACAAGCAACTCCTCTAATTATTTTTCCACTATTTAATTAATTAATTCAATATTAAAAATAATGTAAACACACTTAATTACTATATCCCCTTAATCAGCTGGATTACATCTGCTAATTAATTTCTGGTTTCATATTGAAATTAAAATTCAACTATAGAGAGAGAGTGTTAGTCGAATAACGACTTTACATCAATTATCCTAATTTATTTATTTTTTATTTATAAAATAATAAATGAATATATAAGACCGCGTAGGAGGTTTGACGTGGACTAAGTCGGCTAGCTAAAACACCCAGTCCAGTCATCAACACACACATACAGCAACTACTACTACTCTCTCTCTCTCTAAAGGGAACTTTCTCTCTCTAAAACCAACCGACTGAAAGTCAAGTAGCTTCCACTTGGCCCCAAAGTAATGCCCCTTTCAGGAACTAAACGTGTTTTCTCTAACCATAATTTTCCTTTTATTATTTAATATCTAATGTTGTTAATTTAATTTGCCTTTAATAATCAGTTGAGTAACCGTCTTACTTTCCTTACACTTGTCACGCAACTTCCCCTTCCTTCTCTCTTCTCACTTCTCTCTCTTCACTCCTTATATAAATAACTGTAAATCCCACTCTCCCAATTATTCATATCTTCTTCTATTTCTCTCTTCTCTCTCTCTAAAACAATTTATATCTTTCTCTCTCTAGCTTCTTCTTCGGAAGTACTGTGTTTGTGTTTGTTATTCTGATAAGTGATAAACAAAAAAAAAAAAAAATAGAAATGGCAATGGAAGCTTTGAATTCACCCACTGCTCGTACGGCGTCGTTTGACTTGGATAAAGCCAGCCTCCGTTATTTGGAGTCGTGGACGAAGGGCAAGCGGACCAAGCGCCACCGCAGCGTCGACGAGCCCCACCAGCCTACTGAAGAAGAGTATTTGGCTCTTTGCCTTGTTATGCTTGCCCGCGGCGGCGGCGCCGCGCACCCCAACACCACCAAGCACTCACAGAGACAAATCACGCGTGTTGTTCCACCACCGCCGATGACGATGACGGCGGTATCGGCTGATCCTTCATCGAAATCTGTATACAAGTGTTCCGTTTGTGGCAGGGGTTTCGGGTCTTACCAAGCACTGGGAGGGCACAAGGCCAGCCACCGCAAACTCGGCGGTGGTGGCGGCGGCGGTGGGGATGATCGCAACTCCACCCACTCCGCCACCACAACTACCTCCGCCACCGCCAGCGGCGGCGGCGCCAGGACACATGAGTGCTCTATATGCCACAAGCGCTTCCCCACGGGGCAGGCACTGGGAGGGCACAAGCGCTGCCACTACGAGGGCGGTGCGCCGAGCGGCAACGGCGCCGGAGCAGGGAGCAGCGCGTTGACTTCGTCAACATCAACTGTCACTCACAGGGAATTCGACTTGAACCTGCCGGCTTTGCCGGATTTCTGGCCGGGATTCGGGCTCCGGCATCGAAGACGAAGTCGAGAGCCCGCATCCGGCCAAAAAATCCCGCCTTTCTCTGCCGGCGAAATTGGAATTGTTCTGAAGAAAATTAGCAGATTATTATATATTTTTTTTAATCAGAATTAGCAGATTATTGACTCTGGAAATTCGATGATTGTGTATTGGTTACGTTATTGGTTGGTGCGGATTATTTTTTATTTATTTTTTTTTGGGTGAGAATTCTTTGGTGTAAATGGAAGTGAAACAATATTGTTTAATTGATTCAATTATTATTTTATTTTTTTTCATATCTCATTGTTGAATTATGGTTTATTTGATTATAAAAGAAATAAAAATAAATTGAGCCCCATATTAGGGGATATATGACGTAATTAATACGCCAAGGTTTCTATAACTGTAATAAAGCTGTCCATTATTACGCGTTTGAGCTACAAATACAAAAGTTAGCCTCTTGACTTTTGTAAAGTTGCTCCTTTGTACTATAATAAATATCTAGTCATATTTAATAAATATAAAAAGCAAATAATTATAGAGTTAGTTTAGTTTAATTTTTGGTTTAGGATAAATAAATAAAATTAATTTTGATATGAGAAAAATCATTTAAGGATGAGTACTAAATTTTGGCAAGAGATAAGAAGATGAAGCAATTATTTTGTAGGTATATACTAAGTACAAGTGATAAGGATGAACACGTGGCCCTCTTCCCTACCCCCGCTGTTTAAATATGATTGCAAAGCTGATTAAGATGACAAATGACCTCCTTTACTATTAACCTCCATGGTTTATCTACTAATTAATTATTTTCATTTGATTAATGACCATATAGTACTGCTGGCAATCGTTTCAACCTAATGAGATAGCTTAATCATGTTTTAAAAAGGTGGAGCCCACACATAATGATAATATACACTATTGAGTGTGTGTGTGTGTGTGTGTGTGTTTGCATGTAGGTATTGTGATATTATCTACATTATTAGGTTGGCAAAGCAACTTATTTAAAAAAATTCAAAAAATAATAAAATAAAATAAAATAACCAAATAGAAAAAATACTTGAAAGAGTTAAACAAGGTTGCCAATTGGACGGTCCAAATTGACTGTGATATTAACAAAAAATTGGTTGACCTAAATTAGTTGTGATAACTAGCTAATGCCAGCGAAACAGACCACTAATAATAATAATTATTCACAAAAAAAACATTAGTAATAATAATTATAGTAATTGTTAAAGTACTATTAGTAATACAAACCACCATTGATCTAATGGGGTTTTGCACTTACTAATTAAAGTAACAAGGTGAAAAACAATCTGCACATATAATAGTACAGCCGAAATGAAAATCGACAAAATTGTCACAAACCGACGCCGCAGGGAGAGTTGATTTAAGAAAAGGTGTACAAATATATCGATTTCATTACATGCAAATTGGCTAAAACACCGTAGATTTCATACGAATAAATGTTAAGGAACATAGAGCAAAGTAAAAACCAGAGAGCATATCAGTATTTATGCAATAAAAAAAACCCCGAAAAAACTAGAAGACAACTGTGTCAAGCATTGTACCCAGTGTCTGAACAATGTTTGAAGACATCAAGTTCGAGACGTGTTCTTCTAGATGCTTCTTGGCGTCTTGCCTTCCCACATTAGCGATCGCTAGTTTTTCTGGAGACAACTCGTCCTCCTCCTGAACTGCTTTATTGTATTTAACAGCCAGGCTTAGCATCTCCTGCACATTTGAACCCAGAATTGCAATAATCAGAACAATAAAGTAAATCGAATTTCTGCTAGCATATTTACATTAAGGCATTCACTCTTGAGAGATTAAGGCATGACAAGCTTGCATATCTACTTTTTAAGATTATAAAACTGAACTCCAAACGTGTCGTATAACCTACGGCCAAATATCATCCTCCAAAAATTGAAGTGAGAGAATAAGAAATAGCTCCCATTTTGAAGCAAAGAATAGTTTGCTTTTATTAGAAGTTCAGGCAGAATACAGCTTTTGCCAAACCTAGCCAACATAAAGAAGTTGCAAGAATTCGTTTTGTCCAAGAAACAATCAGTATTAGCTAGTCTTACAAGCCCTGATAAAGCAAAATCTGAAATGCATATTCCCATAATATATATGCTCGGGTGAATACATATAAATAAATACCACTACAAAACCATCTATCGTTTATCAATCTTAAGAGGTTGCATAATCCCAATGTTGGTCAAGTATAAAGTCACTTTTGGGAGGCAATTATGAAACATAAAGCTAAATAGCATTCCAGTAAACTTGAGGAATCAATTCCTCTTTAATTAAAGCACTAGTACTGAGTTGCCAACCATATATATATAGAAGTATCAAGTTTTCGGTCTCCAACAGACAATCATCACTACTTGCAGAAGTACCAGACAATA